CACACACACACACACACACACACACACAAACACATACATACATATATATTCAGGCAAAGTGATATCTTTTTAATATTGAGTTTCCCCATTCATGGACATGATATGCCTTTATTTAGGTCTCCTTTTTTACTTTACATTCATAATTTGACGTACTTTTCTCCATAATTATTTATGCATCTCTAATTAGAGCTATCTTTAACATTTCCTAGTTCATGAAATCATTAAAAGTTACCATGACTATTTCCAGGGGCTTGTGGCTACTGTGTAGCCTGGTAATTGACTGTGATCAGCACTCCTATCCCCCAGGCCTATGAAACACTTACTACTGCTAACAGTGTGGGCAGTCTTCTTCTTTGCAGCACAGACAGAATTAATGATCTAGAATTAGATCTTACCTTCATCAGGGTTACATATACAGGTGTTTTCAGAGGAAAATAGTCATACAAGTTCGACGGATGAAAACTGGGGTAAACCTCACCTCTCACTATTTTCCTCCTCCCAGAGGCAACCATTTCAGCTCTGCTAACAGATTATTTTAGATTTTACTGCCAGACCTCACATAACTACTCCTGTGGCTCTTCTTGATTTCTGACTCTATGGATTTATTTTGTTCACAGCGTTTGGTGTGGACATCAGTTGCATTTCTCTGAGATAAACCCCTGGGTGTATACATGTGGTCATAAAATACACATGCTTTCCGGAAAGTTGTGAGGAAATTACGCCCTTTGTTGCAAGGAGACACATACCAGTTCTGCAGTACACGCCACATTGTGCATTTGGGTGGAGTTTTTCCAGTTCCATCAGTAAGTGGTTGGAATAGAAAGTCTTTCAGAAGAGGACCTAGTTTCATCCCAACGCTGACCAGGCTCTGGTGAACCCTCTTCCTTCCTCCAATGAGTAGCTCTTGCTGAAGCTGAAGGAGATGAGGCCATAAGCCAGCAACATCCTAGGGTCCTGGGCAGGGAAGTTTGGCACACAGCCCACACCGCAGACCATTATTGTCCTGGGCCCCCAAGGGGGGCATCACCATGAAGACCTCAGGTGGGCTGAGGGACCAGTGGAGAGCAAGGCCCCCAAGTAGGGAAGGGAGGAAGCACTACTCCCTGGAGGCATGTCCTTGTCCCTCTGAAAACTAAGATGAGTAACTGCTCACCCTGTGGTTGCTTCCCTGACTATTTCGCAACCTAGAAGCAGGAACTGTTTAGAATATAGAAGCTAGCTACTGTGTCACAACCTGGCACCCCTTCTTAGGCGCTTCCTCTTATATAAAACAGCCGGGGCCTCACTCCTCTCACTGATCAGAGAGTCCGGGTCCTCCGGGCACACACTTGGACACAGCAGCCACTCAGGCATCCATGATGCCCATCCCTGCCTCCTGGCCCTGCCCTCCTCCTTGCCTGCTGCTGACTCTACTGCTGGGCCTCCCAGGTGAGCACTCCTTGGGGTAGAATATTCCCTCCCTGCCTCTGGACTTCTTTTTGCCCCTGAAATTTCAGGGCTTCCAGGGAAACATGGGTGTGTCACCCAGGGCTGCACAGAAGGCCAAGGACAGGATTTTATCTGGGCGCATGAAGTCAGGGATCTGAGTATTTTCTCTGTGGGTCCATCGTCTGCACCTGTTACCAGAGGCAAAAAAACAGATGATGCTTTGAGTCTTAGGTGCTGAACAGGAGGTAATGCTTAAAATGCCTTTGAACCCAAGAACCTAGCAGGGAAGATAGTCTTTGAACGACTAGTAGGAGAGTTTGATATATTTCACCAAAGTCAGGAGGCAGAGTCTGACCGTAAACTAACCAAAATTCGCCTCCCCTGGAAATCATCCCTGTCAGATAGAAATATAGGAGTCTCTACAATATCCAACAGAATTGCAAGTAAGGCACCTCACATGTTTAATTTGCAATGCGTACTTATAGAATTCTCTTGTCTGCCCTTCAAGTCACTCACATCTGACTCTCTAAGAACTCAACTGACCTCTCATTTTAAAAGAAAAAACAGAGTGGTAGGGGGAATCCAGAAAGATGTTTGGCCAGGATAGGACAAGAGAGCCCTGCATGACGAGAGGACAAAGGCCACTGCCAGTCACCTCCTTGACAAGGACACAGAACAAGTGGGAATTCTACGAAAAATTTCTCCTTTTCCCTGTAAATTACTAAACATGGTGTCCCCTGAAGCCAACTGCTTCTAGGTCCGTCTCCGGAAAAACATTCGCTGGACGGGGTGTGAGATCACCACACTCAATGCCCGTGACTGTCCGCAGAGGCATAGAGCGTGTGCAGCCATGTGTCTCCTTGCAGCCATCTGTGACCCAGGGGGGTTGGGGGGGACTCAGCACCAGGGAAGATCACAGGGAGAGAAAGCAAGGCGCTTTCCCGCTCAGTGGCCACAAGGGTCCATCCTGGCCTGCGGTAAATGCTCTCCTCCCTGACAAATCTGAGATGTGAGAGGAGAAGTAGCTGCCCTGACTCTTAGATGCAATTCTGTGAAGATGGAAAGCTGACAGTTACAGCAGCAGCTTCCTGACCCTGAGACAGACCTGAGGCAAAGGGAACTGAAGCTGAGGCAAGAACGTGTCCTCAATGACACCTCTGAGCTGGGTGCTGGCTGAGACCATTAATGCCCTTGGTTACTTCCCTCAGCTGTTTGCACACTTACCTCTGCTCCAAGCATCCTACCTGACATTAGCCACCAACAGAGCACTTTAGAGCCAGTGAAAGTTATGCCACAAATTATTCATTAACACTGGATGTGCAGCTCAGAGAAAAGAATTACAGAATGGTATGTTCCCATTTTATTAAAAAGTGGATTCATTCTCCAAGGAAAATGTTTTAGAAATCGTTATCTCTGATGTAGTTGTGTCTGAAAGACAACACCTTAAATGTTTCCTAATGGCATCTTTTCATTTTCTATGGATTTTTTCTACAACAAGCATGTAAGGCAATGGTTCTCAACCTTCCTATTGCCGCGACCCTTTAATACAGTTCCTCATGTTGTGGTGACCCCCAGCCATAAAATTATTTTTTTTAAAATATATTTTATTGACTTTTTACAGAGAAGAAGGGAGAGGGATAGAGAACTAGAAACATCGATGAGAGAGAAACATCGATCAGCTGCCTCCTGCACGCCCCCCAGTGGGGATGCGCCCGCAACCAAGGTACATGCCCTTGACCGGAATCGAACCCGGGACCCTTGAGTCCGCAGGCCGACGCTCTATCCACTGAGCCAAACCAGTTCGGCTATAAAATTATTTTCATGGCCACTTCATAACTGTAATTTTGCTACTGTTATGAAACATCATGTAAATATCTGATATGCAGGATGTATTTAGGCGACCCCTGTGAAAGGGTCTTTCGACCCCTCAAAGGGTCACGACCCACAGGTTGAGAACCGCTGATGTAGGCCTCCTTCAGAGATATTGCGGGCTCAATTCCAGTCTTCTGTGATAAAATTAGTCATAATCTTTTTGCTGGTGGAGGGTCATTTTTAAAAAAGTATCTTTATTGTTGAAGGTATTACAGATGTCCCCTTTGTGTGTGTTTTTCCCCCATTGACCTCCTTCACCCGGGCCCACCCCTCCCAGGCCCTCACCACTCTATTGCCTGTGTCCATGGTTATGCACAATGCATACAGGTTCCCCGGTGAATCATTCCCCTCCCACCCCCATCCCTGTCTTCCCTGGTGGAAGGTCTTCTTGCTTTCCATTTGTAAAACCCCCAACACCTGTGAACGCGCAAATAAAGTGAAGCGCAATAAAGCAAAGCGAAACAAAATGAGCTATGCCTGTGTCAGCTAAGATTCTGCCACCCTGTTCCATTTCTCAATTCAATGTGATTCCGGTGAAGAATAAAGGTAAACATGCATTCCACTAAGCTTTCTTTAACTGGGGGTATGCTCTCTTAGTAGGGAAAGTTGTGCTTTTCTTTTTCAAGTTGTTTTATGAAATGAAATTGAATAGTAATAGGCATTTATTTTTTAGAGAGTACAGAATATTACAAACAGTTTTCATTTCCCTTTCTTACTTATCATGACTTTGTAGCATTTACCATCAGAACTTCTTCTTTGAAGAAAAACAGTCCCAACACGAAGGCTGTGCAGGGCTCACAGGAACAGCAGGTGATCCTAAGTCCTGTAGGAAAGGACAGGACCTGCCTCTGGGGGTGTGGGATCATCCTGAGATGAAGCATCCTGATGTCTGGATGCATCGGGTTTCCTAGGAGCTACTGCCACTGATGGTGCTCATCTGTTTGGCTCTCCTCAAAAGCCCATTCTTTTCCTCCTTCTCCATCCAGAAACAAACGTGTTTCTTTATAAACCTGGCCCATCTCCAAGTTTAGTGGGGACATATCACATTCAAGCCATTGCGATTCAAATCCCAGTCCAGCACCTATGGCTTCTATGAAGCTTTCTTTCAGGGCCCGATGCCCATGGAGCATATGCAGCCGAGTACATTCATCCTTAAAGCTTCTGATTGCTTCCCTTTCCTTGTTGGTAAACTTTTCTTTCATACTCAGGAGGCATTCTGAAGTTGAGCCACGATCCGGTTCAATTCCATCTTGTAGCCCAGATTGAGCAGCAACTACCGCACAGTCACTTTAATGAGAGACGTTAAAGATGAAACTGGGTAAGGAATAGATGAGTTTTTTGCAAGAACTGGTTTCCTTTTTGCAGTTCCCTACAAATGACTGTTATTCCAAGGGATGTTCTATTTCTCTGCACTAACTTCCATCATCATTAGACGGCCAGCCATGGCTGCCTTAGTGGCCTGGCAGAGGCTAACTCCTCGGGCTGCTGGTGGTACCTCCAGGAGCCATTTCACTCAGCGGGGCAGCCAAGTGTTGCAGGAAAAGGCCCAGCGCACCCCCTCCATGGCTGGCACCAAGCAGACCCACTTGATGGGGGAAACTTAAACCCACTCTTTGCCACATCTAATTACCTCTCTGTGCCTCAGTTTCCTCATTTGTTATAGGCTCTCACATTAAAGGTTGGTTGTGAGGGTTACAGGTATGACACGTGCAAAGTGCTGGGCTCAAGGCCTATTTAGGGTGTGCACTCGGTCGATAAAAGCTGTTGTTGATAAATACTGACCGAGCCCACAGGCTCCCAGATGGTGAATAAATACCTGCTCTGTGCTTCCCTCCAGGAGGGGCAGGTGAGGAGCTGCAGGTGATTCAGCCTCAGAAGTCAGTGTCTGTCGCAGCTGGAGAGACGGCCACTCTGAGCTGCACTGTGACCTCCCTGACCCCCGTGGGGCCCACACAGTGGTTCAGAGGGACAGGGCCAGGCCGGGAGTTAATCTACAGTATGAGAGGAAGCCACTTTCCCCGGGTAACAAGTGTTACAGATTTCTCGAGGAGAAACAACTTGGACTTTTCCATCCGCATCAGTAACCTCACCCCAGCAGACACAGGGACCTACTACTGTGTGAAGTTCCAGAGAGGAAGCACTGGTGACATGGAGCTGAAGTCTGGGGCAGGCACTCAGCTCACCGTGAGTGGTGAGTACAGGGGGATCCTTTGTCCCTCATGTGTGACAACAAGTCAGTGAGAACGACTTCCATCTTTGAGCAACAACTAAGAGTCAGGTAAGGAGGTGGGTGCTTATAGTCCTGCTCTGATTCATGGTCTGATTTCACCCCGTCTGCGGATCAGGGAAGCTGAGGCCTGCAGATGTCATGCTATTTGCTCAGGCCCCACGGCTGGTCAGTGGTGGGAAAAGTCTGGAACCCCCACCTGCCTGGCTCCCCAGCCCTGGCCTTTCAATCCTGTCAGCCCATTGGTTGCAGGAATGAGAACTGACAGCTGAGTGACTTGCCCATCACAAGGCCAGACCTCATCCACCTCCAGGGAGTGCTCCCCACAATGGGGCCAAGGCTCCTCCTTAGTGACACCCACTGGCACCTGCTGTGAGCCAGGGTCTGCACTGAGTGCTGAGGCAGCTGCAGAACAAAGCAGGCAACGGCTCTTCTTCTCGAAGCTTTGTTCCTTCTCTTCAGTGGGGGAAACTCACCGAGGGGAGGGAGTAGAGAAGGTGCTGCTTTATCTCAGCCTCAGAAACATCACAGGAGAAGGAAATCCTGAGAGGCTCAGACTCACTGTTCACTCTGACAGCCCCGCTGGGAGGAGATGCCCAGAAGTGGGCGCTCACTGTGGGTCTGCCTGGAACCGCCCTTTATTCCAGAATCCCAGTCACTGTCATGAAGCCTCCAAGCAGAGTTGGGTCGTCTCAGAATGTCCCTCCCCCATGGAAGAGGCTCCCCATGTGGGAGACTTAGGGGTCGTCCCATTGAGGCAACACCGTTCCCATTGAGGGTGTTTTACCAGAGGCCCAGGATCCTGAATGCTAAACTGTGAGCAAGTGGGGAACTTTACACCATCCAGCCTGACTCCCCAAGTAGAGCAGCGCCTGAGGTCAAAAGGCGACAGGGCTTTGTCCACGGTCACATGGCCAGAGAGTGAGGAGATTGTTCCAGAACCCCATCTGATTTTAGCAACTTTTTCCTGCTTCAGACACAGACACTCTATCCATCAAAAAGCCTGGTGAATGCAGGCAATGAATAAAGCTCATTCCAGCACACCATTGAACAGGGCGCCAGCACCTCTTATATTCACTGGTACCCAAAGCTTCACATGCCCCTCACACTCAGACTTTGAAGACCAGGTGATTGCGAATCTCTCCCTACCTCCAGCCACATCGTCCCAAATCAAGTATCTACATCAGCACCTAGAGTTGCCCCTCCTTCAACAGCTGCCTTCCCCTCCAGCTTGTGGAGACAGCATCATTCATTCACTGTCTTCTGTTGATGGATGAATAGCCTTGGGCTATTCACACAGTGACACGGGATACCTTGTCCATGGGTCACCCTACTTAAGAGGGAGGTGCCCAAGGAAGCAGCACTGCTAGGGCACAGAGTGTGTGCATTTTAATTTGTGTGGGTGTTGCCAAATTTCCCTCCTAGACATGGTGGCAATGGGGTCTCTCAACAACTTTTGGACACAGGCACGGAAGGTGGCTTTATCCTGAATTTTCAGGTATTACAACAGTTCCCAATAGTGTGTCCCTTGCTAAGGCCATCACAGGTGTAATTGGCTCCATCACCACTCAGATTTGCTGCTTCCTGGTAGAGAGCTCATTCCCTTTCCCTGAGCTACTTGCCCAGGTGATGCCCTAGCTGAGAAAGCTGGAGGTGTGAGAGGTCAGAGGTCTCTGCTCTCTGCAACACCCCACTGTGCTTGTCAAAGTGTAGAGAAAGCTCCACCTCTTTTGTTTTTATGTTTTCAAGTTCTGTTTCATTGGTTTTTTAAAAAACATGTTTTTGTTGATTTCAGAGAAGGGAGAGGGAGAGAGAGACAGAAACATCAATGATGGGAGAGAACCATTGATCAGCTGCCTCCTGCACGCCCCCTACTGGAGATGGAGCCCACATCCTACAGGTGTGCCCTGACCAGGAATCCACAGTGATCTCCTGATTCATGTGTTGATGCTCAACCACTGTGCCACACTGGCCGGGCTCCGATCCTTTGCTTAGAATCATGTATTGCTATGTTTTTCAGCAAACAACAACAACACAAAAACAAACAAACAAACAAAAACAGACACATTTTTAAAAAAAAAAAGTCCTGAAAGGTGACACACCAGCCCTCTCGGAGGGGATTCGGACAGAAGGGAAGGAGTAGCCCATATGCCTCCCAGCGCACAGCGGGCACTTCTGAGCCTCTCCGCACTCCCCCCGGACCTCTGTGAGTCCTCTGGCCACCCTCCCCGCCCCAGGCTCCAGACAACTCTTGGGGTGGCTGCCACCACCAGCCGCCCGCCCTCCACCTCTTGACCTAGGAGGCTCGCCGCCTGCGCCTGCCCACCGCCAGCCCGCCCGCTCGCTCGCTCGGCCTTGCTGGGGACCTCGTCCCGCCTGAGCCTGCCACCACGAACAAGCTTTACATGGGCAACCTCAAGGAAAGCATGACCCCCACCGACTTGGAGAAAGTGTTTGCGGAACACAAGATCTCCTACAGCGGCCAGTTCTTGATCAAGTCCAGCTATGCCTTCGTGGACTGCCCCAACGAGCACTGGGCGATGAAGGCCATCGAAACTTGCTCAGGGAAAGTAGAACTGCAAGGAAAACGCCTAGAGATTGAACACTCCGTCCCCAAAAAACAAAGGCATCGGAAAATTCAGATCCAAAATATTCCACCCCAGCTACGATGGGAAGTCCTGGACAGCCTGCTTGCTCAGTGTGGAACAGCAGAGAACTGTGAACAAGTGAACACGGAAAGTGAGACGGCTGTGGTGAATGTCACCTATTCCAACTGGAAACAGACCAGGCAAGCCATCATGAAGCTGAATGGCCACCAGCTGGAGAACCATGCCTTGAAGGTCTCCTATATTCCCCTCGAGCAGACAGCACAGGGTCCTGAGAATGGGCGCCAAAGGGGCTTTGGCTCTCAGGGTCAGCCTCGACAGGGCTCGCCTGTGGCAGCCGGGGCCCCTGCCAAGAAGCAGCAAGTGGACATCCCCCTGTGGCTTCTGGTGCCCACCCAGTATGTGGGCACCATCATTGGCAAGGAGGGCGCCACCATCCAAAATATCACAAAACAGACCCAGTCCAAGACCGACATGCACAGGAAGGAGAATGCAGGTGCTGCCGAGAAGGCCATCAGTGTCCACTCGACCCCCGAGGGCTGCTCCTCCGCCTGTAAGATGATCTTGGAGATCATGCATAAGGAGGACAAGGACACCAAAACGGCTGACGAGGTTCCCCTGAAGATCCTGGCCCATAATAACTTCATGGGGCGTCTCATTGGCAAGGAGGGGCGCAACCTGAAGAAGGTGGAGCAGGACACGGAGACGAAAATCACCATCTCCTCGCTGCAGGACCTCACCCTCTATAACCCCGAAAGGACCATCACCATGAAGAGGGCCATCGAGAACTGCTGCAGGGCCGAGCAGGAGATCATGAAGAAAGTTCCGGAGGCCTATGAGAATGACGTGGCTGTCATGAGTCTGCAGTCTCATCTCATCCCCGGCCTGAACTTGGCTGCCGGGGGTCTTTCCCCAGCCTCGTCCAGTGCAGTCCTGCCGCCTCCCAGCAGTGTCACGGGAGCTGCTCCCTATAGCACCTTTATGGCTCTGGAGCAGGAGATGGTGCAGGTCTTCATCCCTGCCCAGCGGGGGGCGCCATCATCGGCAAGAAGGGGCAGCACATCAAACAGCTCTCCCGTTTCGCCAGCGCCTCCATCAAGATTGCTCCTCCGGAAACTCCTGACTCCAAAGTTCGTATGGTCATCATCACTGGACCCCCAGAGGCCCAATTCAAGGCTCAGGGAGGAATTTATGGAAAACTCAAGGAGGAGAATTTCTTCGGTCCCAAGGAGGAAGTAAAGCTGGAAACCCATATCCAGGTGCCAGCTTCGGCGGCTGGCAGGGTTACTGGCCAAGGTGGCAAAACAGTGAACGAGATGCAGAATTTGACAGCAGCTGAAGTGATGGTGCCAAGAGACCAGACCCCTGATGAGAACGACCAGGTCATCATTAAGATCATCGGGCATTTCTATGCCAGCCAGATGGCTCAGAGGAAGATCCGAGACATCCTGGCCCAAGTTAAACAGCTGCACCAAGAGGGACAGAGTAACCAGGCCCAGGCGCAGAGGAAGTGACTTGCCCCTTCCCAGCTCATCAACTCGAGGACTACAGGCTGAAATCAAGAGCGCGTTCTCCCCAGCAGGCCTGAGAATGAGTGGGAATCAGGGACACTTGGGCAGGGATGTAGATCATGTTTGCCTAGTTGTTTGAGAAAAATGTTCCAGTGAGGAACCCTGGATCTCTCTGCCCCAAACACCCACCAATTGGCCCAACACAGCCCAACCCTCAGGGGGTCACCATGGAAATTCTAGCTCTAAACCTCAAGCAGCATAACTCACAGCCCTGCTCGCCACAGTCTTACACTGTGCTTGTCAAAGTGTGGAGAAAGCTCCAACCCTTTTCTTAGATTCATGCATTTTTATGTTGCTCAGAAAAAAAAATTTTAAAAGGGTCCTCAGGGGAGGCAGGTCTAGCTTTCCAACTGAGATGAGACAGACCCTCAAATGTCCCATGATAAGGCCTGAAACTATTCCTACAGGACATGGCTCTGCCTGTGGAGGCATCCAGGGGAGCCTTTCCCTTCTTTGTGGTGTTTTCCTCACTGAGCAGCCGCAGGAGCCGCCTGGCTCAGTGGCCTGGACAGAGCAGAGAGGGGTCACTGAGCCCCAGCACCGCCGTGGGCAGCATCCCTGTCTCTGCAGACTGAGGGAGAGGAGGGGCCATTTCCTAGAGGGCCCTGCGGCCCCAGTGAGCAGGAGCTCATAGTCTAGACTCACTGTCAGGAGCCCTTTCTCCCATTTATTGCTGCAGGGCCCCGGCCTGGGCACTGGAGGGCACTCCTCCCTGGAGCAGGTGGTGGTCAGGGTCAGGCTCCTGAAGGTGGGCACTGGCTCTGCTGATGGACGTGAATACCTGGGAGGCCACAGGAAATACCCGTGGGGACAGTCGTGGCCGAAGGGACAGTCCCTTCCTTTCTCTCAGTTTTAGTTTTCTCATCTCTAAAATGGTGATGAGCATGGACTCCATTTAGGAGAGAAGAAAGGATTTGAGGTGCTCTGTCTGAATCACCCAGCACAGAGTTGCACCCCCAAATCAAAGTGTTATGTCAGTGTCATGACCCAGTTAACTTGGCTGGGCCTAAACTCCTCACCTGCAGAAATTGTGTAGAAAAACATAATACTAATAAAATCACTGATTAATCAAATACTGATTATATAATCCAATCTGCCTTTATAGAATGCTTTATTGTGAGCCTGTTGAGAGGACAGACCCTCACTGAGCCACGGCATTGTCATCCCACAGCTGTGTGCTCTGGGCAAGTCTCTGTCTTCCCCAAATCCTCAGTTTCCCTACTTGATGAGGATGATAATCATGGCTCATTCAAGGTTCTATAAGGATTGGAGACCAGCTATGAACAGCCAGTGCACAAAAATGAGACTGACCAGGAACTCTGTCCCTGGGCCCAGACTGTGGGAAATCATCTGGAGGGAAAAGGGTGGACTTTGAACGCAGGCCTGGAATTGCTTGTCGGCCCAGCCCCTCACTCAGAGTTCACCTCTGGGAGCATGAGTGTCCTCCTTTGCAATATGGGGATGATGACACGCCCTCCCAGCATTAATAGAAGGATAACACACAGTATATGAGAAGGTATGACAGTGCCACATGCTTGTCGTTAGTGGTGAGAACCACAGTCATGTTCATTGTTATGTTCCTTTTACAGCCAAACCCTCTCCCCCTGTGGTATCGGGCCCCACAGGCAGGACGCCACCTGGGCAGACAGTGAGCTTCACCTGCCAGTCCCATGGCTTCTCCCCCAGAAACATCATCCTGAAATGGTTCAAGGATGGGAATGAGCTCCCAGCCTTCCAGACCACCGTGGACCCAGAGGGAGACAGCCCTTCCTACAACGTCTCCAGCACAGCCAGGGTGCGGCTGGCCCCGGGGGATGTTCGCTCCCAGGTCATCTGCCAGGTGGCCCACGACACCCTAAAGGGGGACCCTCCTCTTCGTGGGACTGCCAACGTGTCTGAGGCCATCCGAGGTAGATGCCCCTCACACCCAGCCCAAGCCACTCCTGGCCCCTGTCCTCCCAGCCTGCTCTTCCCCCTGCTCTTTGCTCCAGAGTTTGATTTTCATGGAATCTAATTTCTGACAATCCTTCCCTTCACCAGGCACCTAGATGTGCCCATCACTCACCATGTTTAATGGCAGCTGTCAGGTGAACACCCACCACTGTACTTGGTAGTTTTATCTACTTTACCAATAGCAGTTCCAATAACTGAGCACCTACTAGAAGCCAAGCTCCTATGTGCTTGGCAATTTCATTTATTTTTCTGCAGTTATATTTCAACTTCATGGCAGGCTGTGCTTGTTTACTTTAGTCATATTACTCTCACAGGAGCTCCAAGCCCTTGAGCACCTACTGTGTGCAGGCTCCTGTGCTTAGTGATTTCATTCATATGAAAGAGCACCATCGGTGTCTGAGCACCTGCCCTTTGAGATCCCCTTACTGTGGTGGGGGAGCTCAGGTTGGAGCCGCCCTGGGTGATCTGTGTCCCATGAGATCAGAGCTGTGCCCTGTGCTGTTTCAGTTCCGCCCACCTTGGAGGTTACCCAGCACACGGTGTCAGAGAAACAGAAGAACGTCACCTGCCTGGTGAAGAACTTCTACCCCCAGCGCCTACAGCTGACCTGGCTGGAGAACCGGAACAGGTCCCGAACAGAAACGGCCCCGACCCTCGTAGAGAACAAGGATGGGACCTTCAGCGGGAGGAGCTGGCTCCTCGTGGATCTGTCTGCCCACAGGGAGGATGCGATGCTCACCTGCCAGGTGGAGCACGATGGGCAGCCGGCCGTCACCAAAACCATCACCGTGGAGGCCCTGGCTCACCAGAAGGACCCAGATGAACCCTCTGGTGAGGCCCCCACTTTAACTGACCCGGTTCTGACTAAATTTAATCTTTACTTTTACTCCCAGACCACCATGCACTTATTACATACTGTTATAAGGAGTAATTCATTCTTACTATGGAATAACCTAGAAGTCTATAGATAGAAAGTGACATTTTGATGTAAGCTCCCCTCCCCAAACCCCACACTCCATAGTCAAACTGGTAAGAGTTTGGTACATACTTTATAGATCTTTTCACATCAATAAACATTAAAGAAAGAGGGAGGGAGACCACCCTGTTCACAGTGTCCTGCCTCTTGCTTTCTTCACCTGACAGTCACCCCGTTCACTGGCCATGTCAGCCCCTGCTTCCTCCAGCTCTTTCTAACCCCCTTCTCATTTCCATTCCATCCTAATCATTCCCAACTGGACCAGGCACCCAGGTGGCATTGAATGGTCACAGCATGGGCCCCTGTTGTCCCCTATTTATGACAGTGAAACAGCAATCATAACAACTGCTCACTGAACAATTCCTACATGCACATTTCAGTCCTTTAAGATCTTCGTTCTGTCACCCATAATAGGAGTTTGGAGTTTTACAGAAGGGACTTCAGGAGCAATGGAGGAGTATTGGGAAGACCTCTTGTCGTAACACCAAGTAATTGGGCTAAACAAACCAGGGTAATCTGAGTCCCAGAGGACAGGGCCTACCAGCCTATAGAACACGTACAGGATAGAGACATGTTCCTGCTCAGTTGGGCATTGCCCAAGGACTTAAGAGTCCCCTTTCTGTGAACAAAACATGTCTTATTTCTCCCTCATGTACATCAGAAGGGGGTTGTGTCAGTTTTCTAAGAGTCTTTACTCTAGAAGACATTTCAAATGCCCACATTCTGCCTAACAAGTCCTATGCTGTTGTCCTCATCTGCTGGGTCCATGCTGGGTCGCCCAGTGTCCATGTCCCTGCCTGCTGGCAAGTAAACACAGAAGGAAAGGACAATTTCCCTTAAAAGAAGAGATATATAGAAGTTGCATAAATGTGTCCACTCATAACTTAGTTGGGTGTGCATATCTGGTTACAAGTAAAATCCATAATTGTGCTGTCATAGGATTAAAGACATTGGTTTTTCTACAAAACCAATACCTTCACACACAATAAAATTAAGATTAATTCCCTAATATCATCTAAAGTAGTGCACATACTGAAACTCCCCAAATTTCTTTAGCTGTTTCTTTGTGTTCCAAAATTGGTTTCAATTCAAATATAAATACTTGGTAAAATCTTTCTGTGAAACTATCTAGGCCTTGAAAATTCTTTTGGGGAATTTTCTGTTGTAATTCAATTTCTTTAATACTTTACAGCAATACACATTATTCGTTTCATATTAAGCAAATTGTGGTTGTGCTTTTTGAGGAAGTTGTCAAATGTCTGCTTGTAGGGTTGGTGATAACACTCCCTCATTATCCTTTTGATGTCTATACGATGTGTAGCGATATCATGTTTTATTCCTGATATTGGAAATGTGTTATGTCTTTCTTATTCTTTATCAAGCTTGCTAGAAGTTTTGCATTGTGTTGAACTTTTCAAAGAACTTACTTTTTCTTTTATTGATTTTCTCCATTAGTTCTGTCTTTCATTTCATTGATTGTACTTATCTTTTCTCTATAATGTTTTCATTCTATTTGCTTTGTGTTGGGTTCATTCTTCCTTTTCTGGTTTCCTGAGGTGGAAAGTTAGATCACTGATTTCAAACATTTTGTGTCTTCTAATGCCACACCTGAGTTGTCTTCTTGACCTTGGGAGTTAGGACAGTGCAACCTATGATGCCTAATCCAGGGTTCCTCCTCCAGTCCTCAGGTCCTAAGCCAGAGCCTTTCCTTCCACCTCTCACAGCCCTCCTATGCTTGTCCCGGCTGCTCTCTCTAGGGGTCAGAGTTGTCCTGAACAGGAAGAGCAGGAGAGGGGAGTCTCTGGCATCTTGTCTGGACCACCTTGAGTTTGCATTTTAGTTTCTGTCCATTTCTGAGGCTCAGACCATGGCTGTTAATTACTTCCTGCAGCTGTCAGTGTGCCTGACCCAGCACACCTGCTAAGCACTGAGGCTGGAAATGGATTTTTGGCTTGTCTAGGTTGGGGAGCTGGAGCAAAGTGCAAGATGCCCATGTGACCCTCTGCATTGGGATGCCACAGCCTATCCCAGCGTCTGGTGGTTCAGGCCCCTGCAGACCTGACCAATGGGCTTGGCTTGAGGATGTACAACATGTTGGTCATTTTTATGGTACTGGACTGTTTTACAATATTTCTAGGTGAATGAACCTCCCTTCCATCAGGATAGCATCATCCATATATGTTAATACAGATTTATGCTGCATGGATGCTTTCAATAGTGGGAGAAATATTCTGAGTTCTCAGATTTTTCAGTTCTTTTTAGTCTTTTAGAACTCTAAATTCCCTCCCCACCATTTCCTTTTCTTTTTAGTACTAATTTGCCACGAAACACTTTTCCTCCTTTTTTTTTCTTTCCCACAGAAGGAGTGAACTTTGAATTGTGCCTGTTCCTTCCATCTCATCTGTTCTTTTAAAATGTCCCTGCCTTGCCCAACCTCGGTGGCTCAATGGTTGAGCGTCAACCTATAAACCAGGAGGTCATGGTTGGATTCCTAATCAGGGTTCATGACTGGTTTGCAGGCTCAATCCCCAATAGAGGGTGTACAGGAGGTAGCCAATCAATGATTCTCTCATTATAGATGTTTCTATCTCTCTCTCTTGCTCTCTCTTTCTCTCTAAAATCCATAAAAATATATTGAAATCCTATATAATAAAACCATAGTATGCAAATTGTCCCCTCGACTGGGAGTTTGACCAGGGGGTGTGGCCGCCAGGGGAAGGGAGGGAGTACCCAGATGGCAGCCAACAGTCACTAGGGACCCTACCAGTGCACAAATTTCATGCACTGATCCTCTAGTCTATACTAATAAAAGGGTAATATGCTAATTAAACCAGACATCTTCCGAATGACATTCCGGACATCCTTCCTTATAAAGCCAGGCCCAGGCAAAGCTGCCTGGGGTCTCAGGCACCTGCGGCCAGGCCGGGTGAAACTTCCTACAGACCTGGGCACCTGCGGCCAAGCCGGGCAAGGCCGCCCGCTGTTCTGAGCCCCTGAGGCCGGCCAGAGGAGGGACACCTGGTTCCTGGGTGTGGGGGCTGAGGCAGAGGTGGTTAGGGGCAATCAGGCCAGCAGGGGAGCAGTTACGGTTGATCAGGCAGGCAGGTAGAGGTGGTTAGGGGTGATCAGGCAGGTAGGCAGGCGAGCAGTTCCAAGCCAGTGGTCCCAGATTGTGAGAGGGATGTCTGACTGCCGAATTAGGTCTGATCCCTGAAGGCAGTCGGACATCCCCCAAGGGGTCCTGGATTGGAGAGGGTGCAGGCCGAGCTGAGGGAACTCCCCCACATACACACCCATGCACAAATTTCATACACTGGGCCTCTACTATATATATAAAATAAAATGACCCTGCCTTCTTGTATGAGGTTTCTATGACCACTGAAATACATTACCACACATTTAGTGCCTTAAAACAACACAAGTATTGTCTTACATCTCCAGAGGGCAGAGGTCTACAATGGGTTGGCAGGACTGGGTTCCTTCTGGCTTTAGCAGAGAATCCATTTCCTCGCCTTTTCTAGCCCCCAGAGGTTGCCCACACTCCTGGGCTGAAGGCCACATCACTCTGAGCTCTGCTTCTGTCATCACAGCTCCTTCTCTGACTCTCCTCACTGCTGCTTTTACTGAGTCAGATCTTTGTGAGTGAAAATGGCTCTGCTTGGAAAATCCAAGACAATGTCATTTCAATTCTTAACTTAATCAGTATGACTAGTTCCTTCTTCCAGGAAATGTAACATATTCACAGACTATGGGGATTCGGAGCCAACATTTCGAACAGGCACACTTTTTTAACCTTTTCCAGTGACCTGTGCTCTGACCTGCGGACACTTCTCAATGTGTCAGATGCAGGGTGGGTTGAGTGTTGGTGGTGGTGATGTTCCCAAATAGCCCTCAGGCGCCTTTGCCAGCTGCCCTTCTCCTGGTGGCTGAGTGAGGGTGGGATGGCAGCCTCCTGGCAGAGTGTGCACTAGGATTTGCTGGTTTTTCTGTTTTGACTCTTAGCTATTTTGATGTTTTCTCATTTTTCTCTTCTAGTAACAGGGAGAGCCAGTTGTGTGTGGAATTTAATTTCCCTTTTGTGTTTTTCCTTGGGTTTGGAGAGGCCCTATTTGGAGACCAGTAGCTGTGCTGCTGCCATTGTGCTCAGCAGCCAGAAGGGGACAGAAGATTGTGAGCGCAATAGCCCATAGGTCCCTCTCTCAGGGTCCCTTCTTTCTTCATCAGGCGCTACCCTTGCTGAGCAGGCCCATTGACCTGGAGAACTCAACCTCCTCTCTAGCTCTGCTATGCCTAGAATTATGTCCTTGGCCCACATCTCAGCTTTTTCTGCCCTCTGCCTCTTGAAGAAAAGAATCTGCAATGCCATCAAGAACTCTGGTGGCTCACACTTAACTTTTACCTTGTAATTAATCACACTTAGCTTTTCACTGTTTTTCTCCAAATTACTGATGTCCCAACAATGGCGATCCAATCTTATAGTTGTTATGATGACCATTTGCTGACTCCTTTTAAAATTCTTAATGCCCAAGTATCCCTTTCCTCCGGTTATACCATCCCAGTTCTCCACCAGTGAAAATGTTAACAATGTCACCATGAGAGCCAGTTGGGGCTGACTACTGCTCCACCTCCCACCAGTGCTGATGAGTGATCGGTTTTCTAGATTGCATTTCAGAATTCTTTAAATTGTGGAAATGTTATATTCAACAATGTATACACGAGGGTATGGGTTCTAGGAATTAATAAGGAATAATCAGTATCTTTCCTGAAATCATTTTTTTCCTGCCAAAATTGTTTGATGGTATAATATTTTTCTTTTCACACTTTAATTTTTCACATTATAAAGAGCACCATCCTTGTAAAAATATTTATGGATTCACCAATTTTACCAAAGTCTTCTCTAAAAGTTTTTTTCCCCTCTTACGTAATAGATTTTTTTTTTAATTAAGTATAGCCCTAACTAGTTTGGGTCAGTGGATAGAGGGTGGGCCTATGGACTGAAAGATCCTGGGTTCAATTCTGGCCAAGGGCACATGCCCGGGTTGCAGGCTTGATCCTAAATTGGATAAATGTGTTTTCATGAAAGAGGCAGCCAATCAATGATTCTCTCTCATCATTGACATTTCTCCCTCTCCCCTCCTCTGAAATCTATAAAAAATATATTTTAAAAAAGTTAAGTATAACTGATATACAGCATTATATTGGTTATATTTGTTTCAGGTGCATATTATAGTGATTCAACATTTTTGTACCTTACATAGTAACCACTCCACGAATTCTAGTAATTATCTGTCACCGTGAAAACTTATCACAATATTTATTCCCCTTCACTTCTTTCAACCATCCTCCCCCCAACCCGTTCCTCTCTGGTAACCTTCCCTTTGGTCTCTGTTTCTATGAGTCTGTTTTGTTTTTTGATTACATATATAAATGAAATTATATGATATTTGACTTTGTCTATGCGACTTATTTTACTTATAATATCCTCTAGACCAGTGGTTCTCAACCTTCTGGCCTTTTAAATACAGTTCCTCATGTTGTGACCCAACCATAAAATTATTTTCGTTGCTACTTCATAACTGTAATGTTGCTACTGTTATGAATCGTAATGTAAATATCTGATATGCAGGATGTCTTAGGCAACCCCTGTGAAAGGGTCATTCGATCGCCAAAGGGGTCGAGACCCACAGGTTGAGAACCGCTGCTCTAGATCCATCTCAGGTGTAGAAAATGGCAAGATTTCATTTATGTACACACACACACACACACACACACACACACATATATATATATATATATATATATATATATATATATATATATAGAGAGAGAGAGAGAGAGAGAGAGAGAAGAAGAAGAAGAAGAATATATCACATCTTCTTAATCCATTAATTTATCCTGCTACATTGTGGCTATTGTAAATAAAATGCTGTAATGAACATAGTGGTGCATATATGTTTTCAAATTAGTGTTCTTGTTTTCTTTGGATAAACAACCAGAAGTGGAATTGCTGGGTCATATGGCATATCTATTTTTAATATGGGGGCAGCACCAGTTTGCAGTCCCAACAACAAGTACAAGGATCCCCTTTTCCTCATTCCTCTCCAACACACGTTATTATTTACTTTTTTATAATAGCCATTCTGACTCGGGTGAGTTGGTATCTCATTGTGCTTTTTATTTGTATTTCCCGGATGACTAGTGATGTTGAACATCTTTTCATATGTCCATTGGCCATTTGTATGTCTTCTTTGGATAAATGTGTTTTCATGGCTTCTGCCCATTTTTAGATCGGATTTTTAAAATTTTTTCTGTCGAGTTGTATGAGTTTCTTATATATTTTGGATATTAAACCCTTATCAGATGTGTCATTTGTGAATATATTGTCCAAGTCAGTAGGTTGCCTTTTTGTTTTGCTGAAGGTTTCCTTTCCTCTGCAGGAGCCTTTTTGTTTGCTGCAGTCCATTAGCTCATTCTTTCTTTTGTTTCCCCTGCTTGAGGGGCGGTGTCCAAAAGGATAATACTCAGATTGATGACAGAGCGCTTGCTTCCAATGTTTCTTCTAGGAGTTTCATGATGTACAGTATATTTAAGTATTTTACACACTTTGAGTTTATATTTGTGTATGGTGTAAGAGAGCGTTCCAGTTTGCTTTTCTGATCACTCCCAGTCAAACTCCATAGGTCCGTTTCCCTGGGAAGCAGACCCAAAGGGCTATAAGAATGTGGGAAGCTTATTGTGGGCAGCTGTGAGGACCCACATGCTGAGGGTTGAAGGAGCAGGACTGGCAGAGGGAGCTGCTGAACTCTGAGGCAGGCACCAGACTTGGCCACTCTACAGAGATCTGGCCAGAAGAATAGGCTGTGAGAGCTGTGCAAATGGAGGGAAGGGTGCTGAGCCTTTGTACTCCCAATGCAGCCAGTCCTCTGCCACAGTCTGCCCACTAGGGGGCGGTGCAAACGTGGCATTGAACTCTTGTCCACTGAGGAGTGTCCCAGGGAGCTTCTCAGTTGAGGAATGGCGTTCCCCTAAACCCCACAGGAAATATGGCGCGGCCTCCAGTGCCATTTTAAGGATTATTTATTTATGAGAAATTGTTGTAATACATTATTTTTTAATTTTAAAAACAAAAACTTCTTGTTGTAAACCTGCAGAACTGCATTTCTGTGTCCAAGAGAAGGATATCAGCTGACATGGGGACTGGGTTCAGGGTGGGCTGGGTGGCGTTGGAGTCTCTCCCAAGCTTGTGGCCCCATTTCTTTGACTCACGAGGGAGCTTTTGAGGCAGCTGGTCTCATGAGGCCAGGCCACTGTGGGTTCTCCCTCAGCTCCTGAGAACATGGGGTCACCCAGCCTTGTCTGGGGCGCCATCCAGGTCTGCCCTGCGATCATCTCACTGAGAAGCCTGTCTCTACTCCTCTCAGATTCCCTGTTCCCTTTCATTACTATGTCTCCATGGGTTAGTTAGAGTCTAGCCGGCAGCGGGTGAGCCTTGCATTCAGTGGGTGAGCCTCGCAGGCAGCAAACTGAGAACATGGGGTCACCCGACTTCTGCGCATGGGCCACGAAATTTCAAGCGCACTGTACATGCGTGACCACACGTGGTATTTTGTGGAAGAGCCACACTCAAGGGGCTACAGAGCCGCATGAGGCTCATCAGCTGCAGTTTGCCGGCCACTGGGTTAGATTTGTCCTCATCAATAACGAAAAGGCTCAGCGTCATTAGATGGGAAAAAGGATGTATTTTTCTAGCTTTGAATCTGCACTAATCTGAGCCCTTGTTAACTCTCTGAGCCTCAGTTTCCTCATCAGAATGAGAGTAATACTACCTGCCCCATAGGGTGTGAGGACCAAGTCAGTACATCAGGTGCCACACTATGGGTCACTGAGTACACATTCTGCCCACCACCTCCCTCAAGGAGGACGACTCCGGCAGCCTACTCACGGGGTCACTGAGGATAAAGAACCTCTTTACCTGATTGCTGCCTCAAGCGGGAGCCCATGGGTTCAGAGTGGTCATGGGTGCAGGTAGCCTCAGATGGAGTGGGTCAAGGACTCTGGAAGGGTCTCCTCTAATGGCTTCTCCTGTCCCTTGATTTGCAGGCCCAGCACTATCTACTCAGATCTTCTTGGCTGTGCTCCTCGGCCTCCTAGGCTACAAGGTGCTGCTGATGGTTGGTGTCTCTGCCATCTATGTCCACAGGCAGCGGAGAGCCCGACTGTAAGTTGTGGGACAGGGAGGGCAGGCTAACGTCTGTCCCAGAGGAGCAGGTCAACAGGAGCGGTCAGCCCACAGGGTACACACGGTGAGGGCCCAGGTGGAATTTAGACAAGGTGACACCCCTCTATTAATACTCCCAGGAGACTTGCAGATGCCTTTAAGAGATTCCTACCTCCCAGGAAATGTCTGGCGTCCTGTAGGAGGCTGACTTGGTGGTTTTTGAAAGGTGTTCACAGAGTCCCAGGGCTCCTGCAGAAGAAGTGGGCAGAGGAAACTGAATGAGGCCAGCTGGGTGGGCGGTTCCTTTGGAGACCACATGTAGTTGAATTGATGGACGGGGATCCTTGGGCAGAAGGAACCCACATTCACAGTAATGTTGAGAAGCCCCGGTCAGCTGCTCTGATGGCTATTCCCAGTCTGACGCTCTGTGTGACAGAGGGGAGGGATGGGGAAGGAGGACCAGGACCTGAGAGGAGGACTAGGGGCAGAGTCCAATGCCAGGGCTGCATATCCTCTCATGACCCGCATTCCTGGAGGAAGATAGCCCAGGACATAAGAGACACGCAGGGAGCTTTCCTTGAATGATGAGCAGGTAATTATAGGTGGACACATTTCCCACAGCTCCTTCCTTTCTCCCCTGTTACACGCCACTCTCAGTTTTTCTTCCTCCTTCTTTCCACAAAGGGCCCAGCCCAAGAAAACAAGTTGACTAGAAGCTTCTATGGACTCTGCTCCAAATGCTTCTCCCAACCCAGAACTGCTGCCCACAGGCTCCTGCTCCTTCTCGTGGCCCCTGATGCCCCAGAGCTGGGTCTTCACACAAGCTCCTCTCAGACACACAGACAGAACCCAAATTATCGCAGCTCCGCTATCCCATACACATGCCTGAGATGGGATAGGAGTGGGAGACGGGATGCTAGGAATTGAGGGCAGTGAAGAGACGGTGACCTCATGTGCAATCACACCTTCAGG